CTTGGATGGGTGCCCGCTTATTCACACCCCTCGGCGTGTAGACTGCCGTCGTTAGGCACGGGTGTAGAGAACTGCTGTGTGCACCGAGTCAGTGTGACTGATGAACACAGCAGAATCCCCACATTACCGGCCGGCTGCGCTACTGAGGTTTTACATAGTTTCCCTCAGTACAAGCCAAATGGGCGCAGTATGGAAAGTCGGCCCATGACACCGCAAAATAATGAGAGGATAGTAGGAGAGGCTAAAAGGCTAAGACGAAGGGGTGCCTATCAAACCATGAAACTATGGTAATAAGAAAAGGAAAAATGTAAAATTAAAAAAAAATAAATTAATTAATTTCCAGTTGATTTCACGATTGACCGTTGAATTAAGTTCGGAGACTGTACAGTATTCTCCGAAATTTGTTTTTGCTTTCTAGAACTTCGATACCCATCTATCAACTGTTCAAAATTAAGAAGATAAGTCTCATAAGGATGAGGACATCAGCTCGAAGCGTCGACGTAGGAGTGAAAATCAGAATATATTTTCGCCAAATCAAAGTTGAGAATTAATCGAAGAAAAGTCCAGAAAAGGACCACAAATATCAAGACCGACTGTTCTGTTCTAAGTAGAACCGTAAACTGCTGGCCAAAGAGGCCTTAGAAAGGCTTCAGTCAAAAAATGCTTAGATAAGCGTTTTCAAGGTTTACTTCAATAACATTCTTTCAACATTATCAATGACAGTACTTCAACACCGTCAAACAGTTTCTTAATGGCAACTGGACTCAAGTACCGCCGTGGGTTTGCTGATGTGGGTCAGCTCCCAAATTAAATGAGTCGTCGAATGTGGATTTATTCAGCCTTTACATCCCCTTCTGATTGTTTAAACCTCGAAGAAAAAAAAGATACTCTACGAGCCAAAAACTTTTTATTTCACGTAGCACAGAAACGATTTTCACATAAACGACATTCACATAAATGAAACTTTAAAATAGACACTCGAGCTGGAATACTGTAATGCACGTTCATATATATTGTTTTCAAATATCACTGAATCTAAAAATGACAACACAAAAGTTAATCGTCCTAAGGTGAAAGTATCTAAACATCATCACAAAACCCGGTATCATGAAAATAATTACCAGAAATGGTTTTTCCGATGTGATATGCGCAGAAGATTCATTGGCAAAAAAAAAAATAATGAGCGTACCAAATAAACAATTTTCGGTAAAGAGTCATGACAGCAACGAGACGAGGACGTCTTTGGTCCTGTCTCTAGCGCTCTGGGCTCATGAACCAAGCAAAGAACTTCTAACATAAGTTCGAGTCCTGATGATAGAAAAATTTTTCATTGCCGGAAAATAAACTGATTCACTATGGTGTTAGTTATAAGTTAGCCAGAGGAAACTGTGAGTGGGGCATTAGACTGGGGTATCGCGTGAATACTAGGAGGGCTTAGTAGAAGACCGGCTAAAGTCATATTATCTGGCACCACTCCATTCAGTAACGAGACCCGATTTTAAAAAAAATCACCCGAAATGGGGATCTCCAAACACTGAAAGCGCCTATAACAGCAAAATTCGGTGCTAACGTATTTGAATATTAATCGAAGAGATCGCTCCGAATAATTACTCATTGAAATGTATTCTCGGTCGTCATAACTCGCTAAAACCAAAACGAAAAAAGGGCATGTGCCTCATGGCATTCAAGCCTTTTTTATGAGGACACAGAAACTGAAGTGGAAGTCCCTGGCTACAATTCCGTCCTGCGGGAAGTAGCCAGCACGAGGGTGGCTAAATCTCCGTGAAGAGTGGTTCCGACTACACGTCGTACAGCCATAGTGTATTTTGACTTCACGTGGAAAAACCGGGTTTGTGCATCCGACTAATTTTCGCTTTCTTGGATTCAACTTGATGTCTGAAACTGGCGGTGCCCTTTGGCCGAGTCAGAATGGAATAATAATCACTTTTGTACATCGTAGTCGTATTATTATGTCGCAGGTTCCAGATATTCAATGTGGAACTTATAAGCAATCGCTAGGACCTCTGCTGCCTCTCCTGTAAGCTAGTCCAGTACATAAAATCACGAGTTACATCCACTATCATAACGCGGCAATCGAGTGCCTTATCAACTGCGGCATATTATCAGCTGCGACACTGTTATGAGATTTGTCTAAATGCCGGTGCTGTCTTACGCTTCAGAAGATATTGAGTCCGGTGTGAATGAGAGATGCTGCAACGTGCAACCTTATTCTCATTGCGATGAACTAAAATCCTCCAGGCGATGTGAAAAAATCCTTCTGAGACGCGCATTGTCTTCTTATGAGAAACCTCCAGCTTCGCCCAGTATGTCTCCAGCATAATAAGCTTGGAATGTAGAATTGCCAAACCGAGCTGCTTGATGCCCTCCTCCGTGGACTCTTTGAATATGCCTTTTATGAAAGTCGCGCATCTCAACACTCTCGAACCGTCGATATGCTAATGAGAGAGAGTGGTAAGTCGCAAGGTGGCAGGTATCAATCATCGCGATGGTTAATTACCCATCTAGCATCATCTGAGACGTACAAGAAGCACTGAGCGGGTCATGTGAGCATGTGTATATGTGCAGGAAATTCAGCGAAAAACCGAACAATGGGAAAAAGTACGGTTTTGAGTCTCTATCTTAATCACTTCCGGTTGAGATAGAGGACCGAAATTGTTAGGGACTTTTTTTTAAATTATGAGCAGATGGTTTAAGAGGCGGCGGAAGAAAAATCTGAATTGAGATATGCTACAACCGACCTGATATGTATATACGAGTGTGCATACATTAGTATGTGTAAAACTATTCCTTTATGTCGAACAAACGCATTTAATCAATTATTTAAAAAATATGAAAAAAAAATAAAAGGGCACCTTTGGTCTGGTCGTCAGCGCACTGATCCTAGGATATCCCATATAGTGCAGGCTCGAGCCCGGATGGTAGAAAAACGTTTCATCGTCGGAAAATAAACTGATAACCTAGTTAGCTGGTAGCCTAGTTCAATTGGCGATGAGTTAGATAGAGGGAAGTGCGGGTAGGGAATCAGGGTGGGGCAACGTGGGGATATTGGAACAGGTTGGCAAAGCCCAGGCTAAAGTCAGACTATCTGGCAACATCCACTTATTCATCTATTATAGAACAAAATGAATAGGACTCTGTCCGTTCTCGTTTTGCAACTTAAGAATGAACTGTAATCTTCGACGGCAATTTTAGAAACATCTAATAGGATATTCCAGCTAGCCCCATGAATTTTCTTGGGAATTCTTTCTCTCAGTGATTCATTGTACTTTGTGAGGAGGCAAAATTCGAAGAACTCCCGGGTTGACCCTCTAACATCTTCTTTTTTGTTCAAACAGCGAGAATCAGCCCAATGCGACACTTATGGTTGTAGCCTAATATTATCCCCTTCCCCAGATTCAGAGATTGAAAAAGAGAAGGTATGTAAAATAATTATTGTTGGGTTCTTGAATTCGCTGCTTGAAAGTAACAGTATAATATTGCATTTGTATCGCTTGATCCTTCATTGTATTTTCTCTGCCTCTTTTTGAGAGATAGTTATTTAGAGCGAAGGGCATAACTTTCAAAGGGAGATGATAAAAAACACACAATCATTCTGAAACACCCTTTTGGTCTCATCCCTAAGATCGAGGATAGCTAAAATCGTCGTCCGTTCCCATACTCGCATCCTAATATTCCAACCGATTTGAAAAGATGCGAGCCACTGTTATAAGGGCCAAAAGTTGATGAAAACCACAATCACCAGAACGAGGGTAAGTACGTGAGGTGCCCTGCCTTACCCGAGGTCGGTAGACCTCGTGAAACCAGATCCTAAATCCCAAAATGTTTTCAAAAACAAGATCACGAACGCACAGGACGAGTCGAATTGGAAGTCGTCCTCGTAACACCATAAAATCCGAATAATCTATAAATTCATAAATTGAGACGATAATCCAGTTAACGTAAAACTACCCGCAGGAGGCTAAAGCCAATGACGAATAAAACGGAAGCGGGAAGACCGGCTTTGCTCAGGACACTAGGTCGTAGAGAAGGGGTCAGGGTTTACGGATACGCGAGTTTAACCTGGAGTTTAAGCGACATCAGAAAAGAAAGAGGAGAGATCTAAGCCGTGTAAACGCTATAGGATATCGATAGCAAGTTAGCCTGAGAATCCAATGACGCCGTTGCGGATGGCATCACCGCAAGCATCTGTGAATTGAGCCAGAACCTAGGGAAAGGCCCGGTGAGCATGTAGCTCAGCTGCCGGTATTTCTACCGTCGCCGCGGCGCCCGCTAGATGGGGCCTTAAGCATAGAAAGCATACCGGGCACACTAGCTCAAACCTAGAAAGCACATGCAGCCAAGGCAAGCCGTGGGAAGCCTTGGAAAGGCCAGTAAGAGAGCAGGAGAACTGAGATGTTCATCGAATGCCAGCCGGAACTGCACTGCCTGGTGAGAAGTGCAGGCCCCTGAAGCACTCCTTTCCCTCTCGACTCACGACTAGGTGGGGATGCCGTGTGCCGTGACGTACTGCCCCTGCCGCGGGGTGAATATTCTTAACGTTAATTTCTCCAGCAGCACGCCGACTTCGAACGTCGCAACTGACCCCTCCGAACAACCCTTCCTAATGATCAGCCTCTCAATGCCCGCCTCATCTAACATGGAATGGGCATACACCGGTATGAGCCCTATGCAGAATGCCAGGAAGTCTCATAGAGTAATTGCAAAGGTTTCCCCGTCTCCGCTCTATGCCGTTGCCCGTCTGCAAGCCTCTTAACACCTTAAGTACTAGGGCCCCGGTCCTCATACGCATCGACAGACCGAAGAATTCCCGGGAAAAGGCAATTAAGTGGCAGTTTTCCAAGCACAGTTACCCTATCCCATCCCTTGGCGTGGTTCATGTGCGGTATTTATGGAAATCCCGTTACATCTCATAAATGATAAATTTACCTAAATTCAGATAACCAGAAACTTACAATCAAATAGGAAAAATATAAACTTACTTGGACAATGATATGTGGCCCACTTCAATGCCATCACATGCTTATAGGTCATATTTCTATATGCATCAAGGAAATTTCCTTGAATAATATCACCATACTGTCTATCTTCTTCAATGACATCACTCTTGTACTGATCCGTGACCCCAATGAGAAATAGTACAATCATCTCAGACGTATGTTTGCCCCATGTTTCACGGACAACTTGGCGTTTCGCATAATTATCAGGTGCTGAATGAATCAATGTTAATAATAATGGTTGTGTTCTGTTGCACGGATCATGATTGATGACAAATCGAAAATTTGTTATATCAATCAGTGTCGTTTCATCGCTGGACGGAAGTTCGCTCAGTGAATATGGTTGAGGTAATGCCGACACATTGTCCGGTACGAGAAGTGTGTACCCAGGCACAGTTACCTGGGCTGGCATTGTTGTTAAGGTATTTGGCGCACCAGTTAACATCCATATTGATAGGCAACAGAAGACAGCTAAAGTTACTGCAAATGTTAAAGTGCAGGGCGACGACCCGTGGCCATGGAGCCGTCGCTTATCCAACATGCTAGCAACAGCCTTTCATCCTCCTCCGGAGCATTCCTACAACAAATAATACATAACTTAAAACAAATCCGATACTATGCTCGTCGTTTTTGCGAGTAGTTGATGGTTCGTTCAAAATGATTCATTTCAGAAATCTTCCAATGACTGCATCTGCAATAACATGATGCTGATATTGCTATTCAGAAAAACCCTAGAATGGCTCTCACCGTATCCGAAATAACAAAAATCACGTCAAACCGTGATCACCAGTGTCCAGATCAATCGAATGGATGACTTGCGCTGAGACACTATTTCATGAATTACCACAGGAGGAAAAAGCTTCCTCTGAGACGAAGACTCAGCGCTAACGATGATGGCTTCCCCTCCCGAAGGCAAAAAGAAACGAAAAAGAAAGAGAAAAAGAAACGAAAACGAACGCCAAAAGTAACGAAGATCTTAACTGACCGTCTACAAATTGATACGATCAAGGCAAGTACGGACTGTAAATCTCTACGATAATCGGACAATCGCAGGTCACTTTCGGATACGCGAATTGCGTCGGATGTTTTTGTCGAGAAATAGAGACGTCAAAAATTGTATATTGAAAACCTAATGTATAAGTCGGAAGCTAGAGCAGGTATGGACAACCTCTCCAGGTAGCTCGGAGTAGAGTCATGAACGCGAGTTAGGAATCCAATAAAGTTAATAACCATACCAGTTATATAGTAGTGGGGGGCCTCATAGTTGCAGTTTTGGTATCCCATGAAGCGTCTACCAAATTGTAAATTGAGAAAATTGGCTGCCGCGATTCATAAAAAAAGAAGTTAGAAAATCCAAACATGGACTAAAATATTTATGAGTATGATGGTGCGACAATTCATTTACATTCTTGTACATGTTCCGTTGAAACCTGACTTGAATTTGGAAGAAGAAAATGAATGTTTTGCCACCTATGCGAATTAATTAAATTCTGTAGAATGATTTTTTTTAGTATGTACTTTTGCCGATTTGCGGCCAGCGTTTTGAAAGATATCAATAATTGATACAGTAAGGATTAATCCCAATTTGTAATTTTGGCCATTCTGCCTTTGCCAGAGTGCATTCGTCAAGTTTGAAATCATTAAATCGCACTATGATACACTCAATAGCCTGAAAAATTTTACAAGAAGAAATATGACAGGTTTCATTATTGTAAACTTAACCAGCCTTATAGGAGAAAGAGTTTTATTAATACCTTTTTGAAACTTCGAAGAACTAGCATGGAATAACTCCGAATTCGGATGAGCTATTGAACTAAATATAAAATAACTATTATCTATGGAAAAAAACTGAAATCATTCTAAAAATTCAACTTCCTGAATTATTGACATTTTTTAACTTGCTTTTGAAATTATTTGTCCAATACCGACCTTTCTCAAAAAGATATGAAAAAAAATACCAGTGTTTATATTTTTTAGGTTTTTTTAGGTCTTTGCGCAAAGAACCAAACTTTTTGCCCAGGTTGAAAGTAGATCATGCGAGTTTTCAGATCAAATCTGGATTTCATCTTTTCACTTTTCATATTCCAACGTTCTCTGACTTTATGATGAATGTATAATTCGGAAGGTTAACGTTACGTGATGTGTTATCAACTGAGGGATCACCGGATAGTAAGTCTAAAGAAAGACAAAGTTCTCTACCAAACATCAACATTGCAGGAGAAAATTCGGTTGTCTGATATCTGGATGAGCGATAAGTCAATAGAAATAGCAGAAGCCACTTATCCCAATTTCTCTGGTTCTCATTTACAAATTTAGCGAGATAATTCGGGATCGTTCGATTAAGACGTTCGAACATGCCATTCGACTGAGGTCGAAGTGGAGTCGTACGGGTCTTATGAATCCCCAAAAGACTCGTTTAATCATTCTAGATCACGGACTCGAAACATCGACCCTGATCTGAATGGATCTCAAGTAGCACTCCGAGATGAGATACTACATGGATCACCAGAGCTTGCACGATCGTAGTTGCCTGATAATCGGGAAGTGCAATAGCTTCAGGCCAACGCGAGAAATAATCCGAGACGACCAAAACGTAACGATTTCCTGATGTTGATTTTGGGAGTGGACCTAGAATATCAATGGCAATTGTCTCGAATTGAAAACGACATTATAAATTTGTAGTTTTCCTCTGATGCTATTAACGGGTTTATCTCGGCTGAAACAAACTGAACATTTCTTACACCGGAGCTCAACATCCTGTTTGCAAGTCGACCAGAAGTATTTTCTGCGAACTTTGTCACGCATTTTATTGACCTTGAAATGACCGGCGGTTGGAGAATTGTGACTTTCGGTAAGAATTGCTGTTATTACCGATTGCGGGACAATAATTTGATGGGTAATTTCTGTTGAGTCAACTGATTCCCAATGCCGGTAGAGAATGCCGTTTATTAGTTCTAGAGAATCCCAACACAATAGATAAACTTTTATATTAGAATCTAAATGAGCGATTTCTTGCCAATCACGGCGCCGATTACTCTCTTTATATTGAATTAGTGTATTCGAGGTGTGAATTAGTGTATTCCAGGCCCTCAGCCTGAAGTTTACGCCAATCGAATCTCTCATCAGGCACGCAACTAGTTCGAAAAAAGTACTTTTCAGTTTCGTTGTTTAGAGAATCGAATCTAGCACATTTTTTACACGAACAAGGGCGTCGAGATGGGCCACTAGTATTACCATGCCGATGGCCAGGTCTGTGAACAATCTCGAAATTAAATCTAAGAAGTGATTCAAGCCATCGGAATACTTGTCCTTCAGGGTTCTTCAAAGACAAAAGCCAAGTTGGAACTGCGTAATGAGTACGGATGACAAATTTCCGACCCAGCAGATAGTGACTGAAGTTCTCGACCGACCTGACAACTGCCAAAAGATCTCTTCGCGTGACACAGTAATTTCTCTCAGCTCTGTTCAGGCAATTACTGAAATACACAATAACTTTCTCCTCACTATTCTGTATTTGTGAAAGAGTGGCTCCAATGGCAAACAAAGAAGCATCAGTGTCAGCATCTACCACCGGACCTGAAAAGATAGGAGGAGAAGTCAAAACGTACTTCAGTTGATCGAAACTAATCTGGGCTTTCGAAAGTTAAGAAAAAAGTACCTTATCGTTGGTCAAGATGTGAAGGGGTTTGGCAATGTTGGCGGAATTCTTCACATATTTGCTGTAATAATTACAGGTACCAAGAAAGCTTCGAAGTTCAGTTTTTGATCGGGGTGTGAACCATTCGACAATGGGAGACATCTTCTTAGGAGAACGTTTAATTTTCCCATTAAAAATTAAATGTGCCAGATACAAGACTTCATATTTGAAGAAAACACCATTTTTTGTATTGACTTTCAAATTAGTAGTAGCTAATTTAAATTATGGAAATGTTCGTTGAAGTCTTTTTCAAAGACGATGCTGTCATCAAGAAAAACACGACCCAATTTACCAATTAATCCGTTGAGAACATTATTCATGACTCTGACGAAAGTAGCTGGTGCATTGCAAAGACTAAATGGAAAAATTTTAAACTGCCAAAGTTCATCGCCAATAACAACTACTGTCTTTTCTCTATCTTTGTGGTCCACGTCAACCTGCCAGTAACCACTCTTTAGATCGATGGTAGAGAATCAATTAGAGCCAGAACTAGCATAAAAAATTTCGTCATCGCGAAGAAGAGGCATAGCGGCTTTCTTTATGACATCATTAAAACCAGAAGTGGGCAAATTCAGGTAGGCTCGGGGCTGTAGCCATAAAATTATTAAGGTTTCAATTATAAGGGACCTAACGTGATTAGAAGGGTTGTCGTATATTTGTGTTTTGAGGGTAACATCAAGCAATGACGCATCCGCGTGATTGAAATGTCAGGCCAAAATGGTTTCAATTTTTATGTACGTTTCTGAACATTTTCTTTTTGATTAAAAAAAATGGAATTAAAAGATGATGGTTCAGACTCAATATTCGTCGGTGGAAATGAAAGTGCGATGCTCGTGAACTTGAGAAAGAAGTATTTCATCGTCAATTAAAGATTACAGGACGCCGTTATTTTTATGATTGTGAGAAATTTGTTCATTTTAATTTGACATCGAGTGCGGGAAGTATAGAAATAAAAAGGTTGAAAATGCATGTCAAGTCAGGTCTATTAACAACATGGTAATATTTTGTAATTGTTTTCGAAACAATATTTCAAACATAATTTCAAAATTTTTTCAAGACATCTACGAAGGGTAGGAAATCTTTTTTTATAAAGACGATTAAAAGTAACCAATAATCAATCAAAAAGATAACAACAAAAAAAACAATAATTGAAAAAATATTTCCATTAGAGAAATAGAAGATTTTTACACGGAAAAAAAAATACCGGAAAAATTACGGGAGTTTCTCGTATTGGTGGGGTGACCTTGGTTTTCGGGAAAAAGTACTGTAAGTTCCGTAAAAATTTTCGTAGCGAGCAGGAATTTTTACGAAACGTTCACGATAATTTTACGGTACCTCCAGTACTTTTTCCCGAAAACCAAGGTCACCCCACGCATATTCAATTACTCATTGTTGTTTCATCTCTCCTATTAATTGGTGAATTTTATTACGATAGTAGAAAGGAGCTCTTCGTGGATTCTGTTTAATTGGTTGAGGAATTTCTAAAATGATTTTGTGTTTACTTCCTTCATAACCGCCAAGATCATTGGAATTCTTTGCAAATGATGTTTGATATTTAAAAAAAAATTGTTCTATCTTTTTTTGTTCAGCTGAATGTAATTGATCACATGAGTTTGCACATTGTTGATTTAAAAACTCAAGAATCTCGGTAGACGTTTCGAGAATGTCCACAGATTTTAATTGACTGACAGAGACAGCTTCGAGAGGATTAGCGACATCGAATTTGTTGTGGATGAGAGACTGAAAGTCGTTTAATAATCCTGATTTGAAAAGGAAATCTAACCCCAAAATGCAATCGTTTTGAACGTCAGAAAAAACTGCATCTAATATCATAAAAGAATTTTCGATCGAAATTGTGATTTCAAATTCTAATTTGATGG